AGGCTGCTTTATCCTGGAAGGCGTCAATGTACTCGAGTGCTGTTGGATCTCCACTCATCCAGGCAATCGGGAATTATTCCATCATGTCCCTGATTTAAACCGTGGAGATTTTGAACATGATTTAGGAGTCAGGAGTTAAGTTACTCGTTGCAGTTACTCCAAGCCATTGTATTTATATGATGAGCCCAGTTGAATTTCTAGTCAATGGTAACTAACAGAATGTTGTTTGTGAAGGGATTCAGTAATGGTAAACACCAATCTATGTCAAAGGGTGATGGTTCGATTTTGTCTGCTGGAGATAGGCATTACCTGGTTTTTGTATGGTGCAAAAGCTACTTGGTGTTTTTCAGCCCAAACCTGGATTTTGTCCCGATCTTCTGGTATTTAGGCACGTACTGCTTCAGTAACTGAGGAGTCACAAATAGTTCTGAACATTGTCCAATCATTGGTGAACATCCCCACTTCTTACCGAATGATGGAAAGGAGGTCATTGATGAAGTAAAAGAAAATGGTTAGGCTTATGACACTACCCTGAGGAACTCCTGCAGTGATGTCCTGGAACTGAGAAGACTGACTTCCAAAAACCATCTTCCTTTTTGCCAGGTATGATATCAACAAGCAGAGAGCTTTTCCCCCAATACCCATTGATTCTAGTTTTGTTTATGCTCCATGGTGCTACTCTCAGCACAGCCATGACACCAAGGGCAGTCACTCTTTTCTCTCTTCTGGATCGAAAAGTGGTCAGGGAAGGTGGGAACAGACTAGGATGGAAGTTGATGGCAGGGGGGAGGCAATAGACTCGTGCTATTATCGACATACTATCAATCCATGGGAATCCGGGTTCAAATTCTGCCAAAGCAGGTGGTGGAATTTGATTAAATAAAAATCTGGAATTTAGGATTTAACTAGGACTATGAAACCATTAGCGATTGTTAGGAAAAATATCCATCTGGTTCACTAATGCCCTTTAGGGAAGGAAACTGCCATTCGTACATGGTCTGGCCTATATGTGACTACAGACCCACAATATCGTTGACACTTATCTGTGATCTGGTCAAATGGGGGAGATCTGGTCAAATGGACGCTGTCCTCACCAGCGATGCCCACATCCTGTGAATGAATAAAAGACTGATATAAATCAGAGGAGACTGAATGTGGTTGAAGAGCCACAGCTAAAATCAACTTCCATGTGTTTGAACAGCCCTTGTGCAAACCATTGATTATCAATCAAATATCATTGAAGACTACAACGGTGTTTTTAATAACTGAGAATATATTAAGTTGTTTTGCTGTATCCGATTGTATTTTCTGTATTAAATGGAAAATTGACATAACAACAACACCTTCTGATCGTGAACCATTTTAATTCCTTCTCCCACTCTCTGGGTGACATGTCCATCCTGGGCCTCCTCCAGTGTCACAATGACACCACCTGCAAACTGGAGGAGCAGCACCTCATATTCCACCTCGGGAGCCTACAGCCCAATGGCCTAAACGTGGATTTTACCAGTTTCAAAATCTCCCAACTCCAGGCCTCATCCCATGACCAACCCTCCCTCTCATCCCCGCCTCCTTGACCTGACACAACCTATCCATCTTTTCTCCCACCTATTTCCCCTTCCTACCTCAATGACCAATCCCCATCACTCCCTACCTGCATTCACCTGTCACCATCCCACCTACCTTCCCCAGCCCCTCCCCTCCTCTCTCTATTTATTTCCAAGCTCCTTTCCCCCTCACCATTTCTGAAGAAGGTTCCCGATCCGAAACATCAACTTTCCTGTTCCTCTGATGCTGCCTGGCCTGTGTTCCTTCAGCTCCACACTGTGTTATCTCTGATTCCAGCATCTGCAGTTCTTTCTATCTCTGAGATCATTATGCATTATCCTCATATGAGGTTTTACTTTAATTTGAGAATTTTGTTTATTTAAAATTTATTAAGGAAATTTGCATTATTTTTAAGTTCTGAAATGAGTTGACATACTTTGTCAATTTAATATGATTTATCAATTCAAGATGTGAATGACTTTTAAATGCTTTCTACCATGTAATATTGCATCAGTATTTGCCCTGTGAAACCAAAGACCCTTTTTCTAATGTAAAGCCTTTATCACAAATAGCAACCTAATGGTAGCCAGTCAGATGAATGTTTTCATTGACCCCGCTTGTTTGATTGAGTTGTGTGACCAGCATTAAATTGTTTAATTCTTCGACCCATAGACTGGTAACTGTCTGGTTTCTGCGAGAGAGGGCAATCATATCTCAAGGAGCAGGACAGCAAACCTTACAGCTCACTCCAATATTTGGAGTTTAATTACTAAATGAGCAGAGATAAAGACATCATGAAACAGTCGGATGCTGTTTACAACAACACTGCCTTCTCTGTGAAAATGTAGACTCCAAATTTGCTGTAATTAATTTACTCAGAAGTTAAATTTGACCTGAGCACCAAATAAGATCGAAGACAATATGAAAATCAACCAGCTGTTTGAACTTGTTTGTTCAAATTACACAAATTATCGATAAGTATTTAATGCAATTTGAATGTTGTTGCAATTCCTGAGTATCCACGGGTTTCCTGAGGAGTCATGTTAAAAACTCTGTCAATGCTTCACATCAGAGCTTATCTCATAAAGATTACCTGAAGCACAAAGGGACAGATTACTTGACATGGAAAATGTTAAGAACATTTTACAGTTTTACAGAAATATACTATCTGATGCTTACTGCTTTTACTGTTCCTGGTAGGTGGTAATAACCATTGAAATTGTGTAAACGTGAGCATGAACTGCACTCTGATTATTTTCCATTTAACTTGCAAATTACAGTCATGAAAGGTTCATTACATACAGATATTTTCAGTGATATTATTTGTGTAAACATAACTACATTATCCACAAGTTTTCATTCCGACACTGCAAGTGATCAGCACCTTCTATGTAACTCTGAGGGCCACTGATACCAACACATGCAATAGACAATTGCAACACATCTAGGTTTAGGCAAATTTATGATGCACAATAGGTTTGGGAGAGTGTGTCATTGTAGAGTCCATCTGATTTTGTCATAGGCCAGAGTGGAATACCTGACCATAATGAGCATGTATTGATGAGAATATCTATAAAGGTAAATCGTACTTAGCGTGGATCATAGAGAGGGTTAGAACAGCCAGTTGTATTTTAAAATTGTCGGTTGTTTGTACAGAACTTGAGTATTGCTGAAAAAAAGAGGAATTCTCAAAGATTTTCATCTCTTCTTTCGTCATGGTTACTTCCATGTTTTATTGATATAATCAACTGTCAAAGGGAAGGTTTTTTGCTGGTATTTGAAAATATTTTAGTTGCTGTGATTGTTTCAATCGCATAAAGGTTCTCATGCTGATACCTTCCCTTTTGCCAATGTAATTCTGAGACATTGTGGGTCGTAAGGACCGAAATCTGTGAGGAGTTTGTTGCATAGAATGAACATTGGATTGTGGCATTAAACTGGAAAAAATCTGCAACTGACTGGAGTGCCTTCGACACTTTCCATATCTTTCATCATTATATTAGGAATCTTTGGTATCCCTGCTTTTTTTTCTTGCAGATGATTGATGAATTTATTCAGTTAAATTTTGACAATGTGGAGTTTTCTCACCAGTGACCACCTTCTGTTTGATTTATAAATGCTTAATCACTGATTAATTCTGCCATAGTCCTCAACACAACATGATGGGATCGCTCAAAGTAAAATGTGTTCTCTAGTGCAGATGTCTATATTTTAGCCCATGTCATTTGTCCAGTTGTGGCCATGGTCCAGAAATCCTGAGATTTTGCTACATTTACAGTGGGATTAAGAAGGGGGGATAAAAACAAAAGAACTTGCCCTCCCTAGCCAGACTTAAAGAAACATGATTGTGAAGGTTGTTTGTGAATCATGTGAGCCCAAAAAACCTCACTGCAGGAACTAATCATTAAACATCCTCAGCCCAATCATCTTCAGATGATCATTAATAAATGGTTGACTGACATTGTGATGACTGCATTGTGTTCAGCTCCATTTGTAACTGCACGGGTAACACAGCATGTTTCCAGGCAACAAAATGCAGTCTCATAAGTGAGAAACAATGTTGGGTCTTCTGTTCTGTGAGAAACATTACAATTTCCAACAATTGACTGGGAAAAATGACCTTGAATCACTGAACATATTGCAATTGTTGTCCTGAAAGCTTTATAAATTACCAGAATCATGATAAGTCATATCATTTATTCATCTTAAGAGCAGCTTTGTGGCCTACAATGAGAAACGCACCCATAGATTGTCCAAAGTCTGTTCAACAGCTACATACCAGAACAATGATTGAAATCAGCCAAGTGTCTCGACGACTACATCATCAACAGAAACAGCAGAAACCGTCCAGAATAAAATAACCTGCTCGATGACAATCTGTACTCATTCATAAACATTCACTTACTTCATCAGTAATGTACCTTAGAAAACACATGTATTTACTAGAAGATCTACAATAGTAACTCGTCAGGGCTTCTTTGACAGAACCTTTCAAATTCTGAACACTATCAGAAGAACAATGAAAGCAGGAGCCTTGGTACAGGGAAACCATTTGGTTTTCCCTCTAAGTATACGCCTGACTTGGAAATTTGTCACTCTCTCTTTGCTGCCACTGAGTAAATGTCCTGGATGACCCTCTAGAAGCGCTTTGTGGTGTGATCGACAGGACCTAGACTGCAGTAGTTCAAGAAATCCACTTAGCAGGAGTCCATACTAGGGGGCGCTGAGTTTCCAGAAGCACCCATATTTCGTGCACGAAAGACAAAATAGAACGTGGGTAGCTGCACATATGTTGTTTGTTTTGAGGTTATTTTTTGTTTTAAAAATGTTTTGTTCATAGCATTAACCAACTTGATTTTGATTGGAAAAAAGCCCTACCAGTACTTAACTCAAACATGGAAGATAATTGATCATTAATTTCCAGTTTCTTCTCTTTTCTCTTTTTGTTACAGCCAACATTTTGACAATTGTGGTCCTATCACAGGGAAAATGTGATCTCTCCAAAGGCATCACTCGTTATCTAGTAGCCATGGCAATGGCAGATCTACTGGTTATTATCACTGAGGTCATACTATGGCGAATCAGTTATTTTTACTTTCCAGGATCTTTCCTGGACATGACTCCTGTGTGCAGTGCTATTTTAGTCGTGCTTTATGCGGCGATAGATTGTTCTGTTTGGTTCACAGTGTTCTTCACTTTGGATAGACATGTAGCCACTTGTTACCAGAATCTGAAAACCAAATATTGCACGAAGAACGTTGCTACCGTGGTTGTAGCAACAGCATGTACTTTGCTCTGTTTAAAGAATGTCCCCTTCTATTTTATATTAAACCCACAGTGATAATTGATAATATACATTGGTTCTGTTCTGTAAAACCAAGCTATTATACAGAGCCTATTTGGATGGCTGTTGATTGGTTTGATACAGTTTTAACCCCATTGCTGCCATTTGCTTTAATTTTACTGCTCAATTCTCGAACAGTCAAATACATTATAGTAACTAGTCGAGTCCGCAAGGGCCTGAGAGGTCAAAGCAATAGAGAGAATCACAGTGATTCTGAGATGGAGAGTAGAAGGAAGTCTGTGATTTTACTTTTCACCATATCTGGCAGCTTCATCCTTTTGTGGTTGGTATGTCATTGATTTCTTGTATTATGTACTTTCAGAAACAGATGATCAGCATGACACTGATGCTTTATATCTCTAAAGGCAAATGGGATTTATGTTGCGGAACTTAAGTTGCTGCACAAACACTCTTATTTATGGAGTGACTCAATCCAATTTCAGAGAGCAGTTCAAATGCCTTTTGAATTATCCAGTGACCTCAATTATTCAATTAATCACTAATAAAAACAACTGAGTGAAGCTGAGGGACAGGCCCAGCTATTCAAAAGGGCATCATTATAATAATTTACCATTGTCTTTTATCGACTGAATTGTCTCAGGAATGATCTAGAAATTCCTTCATCCATACAGCAATTGAGCCAACAATATTTTGGATCAATATTTGTTACATTTTTGTTCGTGAAGAACAAAGACTTTATTGCCTTCTATCTGAGGTCTACTGTAAAAGGTATGTTTCATGTTATTTACAGCAATTGGTTTGCAGCCTTCAGAGTGAGAACCTCGTCAATGGATAGGGAGACAGTGCGAAGCTGTAAATTAGAAGATAGCATGATTTGGAAGGCACAGCATAGACAAGGGTCACTAAAATCAATTAGTCACTTTCGGTATGTATGTTTCACTTCCATTGCTATCTATCTCATCTCTACCATACAGCATCGTGTTCTGTTCACACTCTGCTAGATTGATATTTAAACTCACAGGATACAGCGAGATATGGATCAGTTGCAGATATGGGTGGAGAAATGGCAGATAGAGTCAAATCCGGATAAGTGTCAGATGCTGCACTTTGGGAGATCAAATGTTAAGGAAAAGTATACAGTTAATGGCAGGACTCTGCATTGATGTACAGAGGGACCTTGGGATTCAAGTCCATAGCTCCCTGATAGAATGGTAAAGAAGGCCTATGGCACACTTGCCTTTATTGGTCGGGGAATTGAGTACAAATGTCAGGATGTCATGCTGCAGCTTTATAAGACTTTGTTTGGGCCAGACTTTAGAGTATTGCGTTCAGTTCTGGCCGTCACATTACAGGAAGGTTGTGGAAGCTTTGGAAAGGGTGCAAAAGAGGGTGACCAGGACAGTGCCTAGTTTGGAGGATATGAGCTATAAAGCGAGGCTAGAAAAACTGGGGTTGTTGTCTCTGAAGCGGTGGAGGCTGAGGGGAAACTTGATAGAAGTAGGTAAAATTATGAAATGCATAGATAGGGTTGACGGTCAGAATCTTTTACCCAGAGTTAAAACTAAGTGGCGTGCAGTTAAGGTGGGAGGGTGGGGAAAGTTCAAAGGAGATGTGGTGGCAAGTTTTTTTCACACAGCGTGGTAAGAGTCTACCAGGGTAGCGGTGAAGGAAGGTACGATAGGGATGTTTAAGGAACTTTTAGATTAGCATATGAATATGCAACGAATGGAAGGATATGGACCAAATGCAGGCAGAAGGGAATAGGTTAATTTAGCGTCATGTTCAGCACAACATCATGGGCCGAAGGGCCCTTTCCTGTGCTGTACAGTTGTATGTTCTTAACTACCTAAGCAATGGACCAGTTTTGTGCAATGGAAGTCCACAACTAAGGGCATGCCAAGTGCTTGCTAGTACTTAAATCGCTGTTTGTGTTTGAGATGATTTGTTACTCAATAACTACTATTTATGCTCATGTATCTTCTGTCACAGGTGAACAAATTCTCTCCACACTTACCTTATCCAAGCATTAACTATTTTAAATACCGGTCGCTCAGTTTGCCTCCATAACCTTCCCAGTGAATCTATATAGTTTTATTGTTCGAATACCAGTATGGTGCACATTGCTTTAAATGTAACCTGACTGTGTCCTGTTCAAGTTCAACATCACTGCGTTATTTGTTATTTCCATGGTCAAAACTTATACCTCAATTCTGTTTAATATCAGCTAATCGCTTTATTGATCTAGGATTTTGCTTCTTTTTTTAAAAAACCACTAAGAGGGCCTCCGTTATTTACAGCGTTTCAATAATTTAAATATTATTCTGAGTGGACGCTTCATCCCATTCTTCAGCACCTCTCTGAATTTGTTCTACGTCACTGCAGAAATAATCGCATTTGTGCAGAAACTCAAAAGCAGGATCATAAATTTGGTATTGTCCGGGATCAACATTGCATCATTCCAGCTCTTGAATAGTATTTGTTTATAATTTTCATTAACAAGAAGAATATCGCAAATATCACCCATAACATAGAACATAGAACATTACAGCGCAGTACAGGCCCTTCGGCCCTCGATGTTGCGCCGACCTGTGAAACCAATCTGAAGCCCATCTAACCTAAACTATTCCATTATCATCCATATGTTTATCCAATGACCATTTAAATGCCCTTAAAGTTGGCGAGTCTACTACTTTTGCAGGCAGGGCATGCCACGCCCTTACTACTCTCTGAGTAAAGAACCTACTTCTGACATCTGTCCTTTATCTATCACCCCTCAATTTAAAGCTATGTCCCATCGTGCTAGCCATCACCATCCGAGGAAAAAGGCTCCCACTGTCCAGTAGGAAACAGTAGGAAATTTACGCTGAGGAATAACTTGATGAATTTCCTTCTCTTCATCTCTGTATCATTATGGTTGACATCAGTCATTGTTCTGGCTCAACCTCCTGCAGATTTTACTGACCTTTAAAATACGTTGCACAGGAATGTTAGGAGAAATGAAGTTGAACAATGGTTAATCCAGCGAAATATTTTGCATGCAGCCAGAGTGTAATATTCTACATTCAAATTGTCGAACCAGGCTATGTTGTCGTTGGCAGTGATTGTCTCGAATGCAAAATGAAAGGGAGTGTTTTCGAAACAGAACACCAGACAGACCATTCCTAAAACCACAACAGCCGTTTTCTCAGTGCAATATCTGACTCTCAACCTCTCGCAGTAAAGGATCAAAAGGAACAGTGACTGTTAATCAGGCAGCAATGTCGGTAGGTGCAGGAACCAGGATGTGGTTTAAAAAACACACACAAGTACACACACGCACACACACACGAGCGCGTGTGTGGGGTAAGTATCAGGATTGTAGTCAGGAAATAATAATCATGAATTTATCAAAAATTACGTCAATGACAGGAAACAGATGTCCTGGGGGAAGCGGGGGGGGGGGGGGGGGGGGGGTTGGTGGCGGCTAGTGAGTGATACATTTGGAGAGACCAGTGGTTCCTCGGCACACAATCACAATAGTTGTCACGTTAACTGTAAAAGGATAATAAACAGAAAGGAGACTCACCCATCTGATTAATAGAAATTGAGTCAGTTTTGCTCAATTTTGGTGCAAACTGTAATCTATTACTGGATCTGGCGGTGAGACCTGACTATGACTGTGATTAAATTGCACAATTGAAGGAATATTAACGTAAAGTTAAAGTGTAATAGGTATGAATAAATACACAAAATTAAGCGCCTTCAAATACTTAACTTTTAATTTTCTGGGAAAAAAAAGTGTCTGCACAACATGTTACACCGACGCTCACAGTCCTGGCGCCAGCACCAGAAGAACCGGAGCCCATTTCTCCCAGTGAAGTGTTTGAGCCACACATTCCGATTCCTGGTCTTACTTGTCACACATATCGACTTGTGGCTCACTTCTAGAATAGAAACCTTGTTATATTTAGGATTCTTAATTTGTGGTCAAGCTTCTCACACTGACTTGGAAAATTCTCTGACTTTCCAACGTTCTTTCTACAATTATGGACCACAATGAAAGGGCTCTTCCCCTCCTGCTATAACGTACCACAGCCCAGGGAAGAGACAGACATCACGGCGACCTGGACTCATACTGTTTGCTGCAAGGTACTCTCGAAGCCATTCACCATCCCAACCTGGAAATAGATCACCAATCCTTCAGTATTTCTGGATCAAACTAATGTAACCAAACACTTAATTCAAACCTTGAAACTCAGGAATCATTCCACCAATCCACGTTTAAATCACCACCTATACGCCATGACCTTGCCCACTCCAAACTCACTTCACTATTGCTGAAATACGTTAAGCCCATCTCTGACAACCTGCTACCTGCAATTCTATCCTCCTTCATCTCTGTAGAAGAATCTCTGTATGAAACTTTAATACGAAAAGCACACAGAGACATTGCAATGTAACTTGACAATATGGAATCTGACATCCCACAACCTTGTTACTTGAAAATAATTACATAAACGTTCATCGGTTTACAGTACACTATTATATCATCAATTCTGGAGCCTCGGTGTGAAGTTATAAGTACACTATGAATCAAAATGAATAGCTCATTGCATGAACTGGAGTCTCCAGGTACTTCGAGGGACTATAATAGTGCATCATGATCCCAAATTGAAAACAGTAGTGGGGCAGTTGTTGAAATAAGAATATGTGATTGAAGATGAAATTCTGGCGTTGAGGGAGAAGCAGCAACGTGAATGGTTCAGAAATAACAAAAGAATGCACAGGAGTGGTGACAGGATCAGTAATAGAGCAATGCTCTGATTCACAAAGTAAACGTGATTCTGAGTCCATGACCAGGAACAGAGAGAACCGTTGCAACAAGTGGACCACGCTAAACGTATTCACAAAAAGTCAAACTTCATTTACTTTTGAGAACTGACAGTGGCCGGTGGTACAGGACACCAACATAGAACAGAGAATTGAGATCACTTACTCAGGGATACCCTTATTAATAAATGAAGGAAGGATCATTCGACCAGAA